TGCATAAAAGGTGCACCAATTTACGTGCTAAATATTCACACGTGAGCCATGAAAGGTGCACCAATTTGCGTGCTAAATATTCACACGTGAGCCACAAAAGACGACACAGGCTACAGTGTTCAACGAATATCACTCTGTTGGGCTTAAATCATTCCTCACTTAATGCACTTGGCGATGAGAACATACAGCTGGATAATGATTAGCCACGTGCAAAACAGTAGTCGAGTTACAATTGTTACAAGGTCTTCCATTCCACAAATAGCCTCACTGTCTCGCTTAGGTGTACAGATAGAGATACTGCCAATTTTTTTTTCACATCTGAGGAAAACGAAAAAAAAAGCCGTATTTTGCCTTGTTACCTAATTCTTCCTGATGTAAATGCATGCGCACGCCTTATATTTTACAAGCAATCAAGCTAAAGACTGGCACACTTCCCGCCACGCCTAAAGCAATGTACGGAACCCTACAATTAAATTTATAAGAGCTTGCTATGAAAAGAATGCCATTCTTCTAATATCATAGTACTGTATATATACCATATAATTATATATATTTTGATGAACTTTCATCATGATAATGCTTACGTCACAAAAACGAACAATACTCTTCTTATTTTCTTCAAATTTTCAAAGCTACAAAGTGAAAGACAAAAGAGCAGATCTAATGTCAGCGTGGGCTTAGTATTTCGAGAAGCTTTATTTACGCATGTGAAGTGAATCTATTTTAGGTTAAAAGACAAAACTCGGAAAAATACTATTCTTTCGTTACCTTCTCTGCAGTCCCTCTACTACAAAACGCGTATGAGAAAGGCCTGATATTAGGCCAAGTAAAAAAGTATAAAAAAAACGTATAGCGTCCGAAGTTTTCGAAAAAAAGAGGGTCTTTTTTTCTAAATGACCTCTATGAAATAAAGTTTGCACCCTTTTTTCGTGATTGTTGTTTGTTTTTACAGGGTCCATGTCAAACAGAAGTCTTCTTTGTTTAATTTTTTCATCAAAACGATACAGAATTTATGACAAATAGAGAAATAGGATAACATGAATCAACTGTATTCATCTCATTTTTTATTCAGATCTCTTCTTTGTATGATCGATAAACGATAATTCGAAAAAAGGAAAAATCGCCAAAAAATAGGGGAGGCGGCTGAAAAAAGAAAGCTGAAGAGGACGCTAAACATGTTTGTGTGTTTTTTTTCACTTAGCCTTAGTAACAAAAGTAAAACAACAACAACACCGAGACACAAATAGTGAGAGCTAGAAATCTTATTTATTACGAAGCTGAAGGTCCCAACAAACAAGTTTTATTAGCTAGCGGACATGAAAATTATCATCAAACCTGGAATATATTCTTCAGGTCCCCCAAGAAATGACCAAGGAGGTCGGCGTGCGGATCTGACCCCTTTTTTAACCCTCTGAGGTTCCTGTGTTTTTTCCCGTGCGTTGAATGTGTATGTCAGCTAACATTGGATATTGGGTAAAGACTTAAAATTTGCAGTTGGTTGAGAGAGAGAAAGAAAAGATTCCAATTGAAAAATTTCAGTCTTCAAACCATTAATGAGCAAAACGTTGCTTAGGTTACTTTAATTCCTCGTGCGTTTTAAAAACATAAAATTATCATAAGTGATTGTAAGTTCTACCTGGTTATGCTTGTTGGCCCATATTTGTAAGGAGAAGTTATTATAAAAATCAGAAAATATATACATTAAAACGACTATAAGTTATACCCACCAATAGCTATGACACTTCAACAACTCTCGTTAAACTGATTGGCCATAAAATTCAATTTAAATTTTACTGGAAAACAAAGTGTTGTCGAAATCAGGCACTAAGTAAAAAGGAAGAGGGCCACTAGACTTTCAACAAACTCGAGACAAAGTATATAAAGGAACCGTTTTACGTACAGATTATTTTCAGAGTTATTGGAATACTGATGATTTGCTCGTCTTGTTGTGTTAAATGTAAGAAGAACAAATAAAATTTTTTTATGTATAATCGTTTTAAAATATTAACACCAAAAAATAGCTGATTGTAGGATAGTTTCAGGTGGCTTGCGAGTAAATTTGATCGTAATATATGTCTACTAGCTGATACCTTTAACACACAAAAAAAGCCAATCCCGTTTTGTTACTCCCGGGGGAGGTTTCTTCAATGTGCTACCCATACTATTTTATTGATCTCTACTAAACTATAGCACTTTTATGGCATCTGGGAGAGTGAAATAGGGGAGGGGTCGTCGTCGTTCGGATCTGTAGCCCCTATTTCATCCGTATGTATTGAAAAGGTACACTCAGCTAGTAATATGTCTATATATTGTTGACGCTTATTTTTTGTTTAACTAGAACTTCCTTTGTAGTAACTTTGGTAGTTATTACGTTCTTATTTTATTATTTGTTTTAAACCTAAGTCTTAAGCCATTATTTTACAAAGGTCTGCGTGTGAGTGTGTGTCCACTTATAACTGGCGAACTACTGTACCGAAAAAAGGTCTGTTTTCTATCTGTATTTATTATAAAACTACACATAAAATGTAAATACTAAAGTATAACTGTTACAAAAATGTGGGAAATTTTTTTTACCAGGATAAATAAAGGTCTTATCATGCGATCAAACTATTTACCATGTGATGTACTGATGGGCAAATAATTTAAAAATGGAGAGGTATAGGAAAATAATTGTTAGTGGTATGAAATGAGATTTAGTGGACTTACCCAATGACAGTATCATTCATTAAGATCACTCAAGGTTGGGTGTAATGCAATCAATAATGAACTTACCGAACTTTGGTTCGCGTCTCGTCACCGCGACCAAAAAATAAAAATAAAATCGCCATCTGCATTTGGGGCCATGAGTGTGTTATAAGAATGATTGTCAAATCCCACTATTTGATCTAACAAGAGAAGCCCACGAGTTGGTGGTGGATGGTATTGACTAGCTGTCTTCCCCATAGTCTATAACTTGAAAATTAGGGACGACTATCGCAGTTAGTCCTCAAGTAGCTTTGCGCTAAATCCAACAGACAATCATTCAGGATCGTATCTTTCGAAAATTGTATATGTATCCTACACCAGAAATGTGAATGGCAGGTGTATATACACTAGCTCTTTAAACCACAAATTACCAAAATGACTCCTCAAGAATAAAAATGCATTCCTTCCATGCGTACTGAGTTGTGCAGCAGATGATCGATATCTGATCATTACAAAGGCTGTTACCCAAATCTTGGTATGGGGTGCAAGGTCAGGATTTGGTATAAGCATGCCATTGCACCTTCGATCCTTGGTATGAGGTGCAAGGTCAGGATTTGGTATAAGCATGCCATTGCACCTTCGATCCTTGGTATGAGGTGCAGGGTCAGGATTTGGTATAAGCATGCCATTGCACCTTCGATCCTTGGTATGAGGTGCAGGGTCAGGATTTGGTATAAGCATGCCATTGCACCTTCGAAGGATCGAAAAGATTAAAAGGTGTTAAAATAAAAGCAGCCCCACATCAAGTAGCACACAGACATTATGCTATATTTGCTTCCAAATCATCTAAGTAATGGCACAATTGAAGAACAGTTTATCCTACTGTATGTAAAGTGTCGTCAGAATACCAGAGCCGCTGCCAGATTGTCATACATGTCCAACGGTTCCCAGACAAACGTCATCTTCTACATCACAATTATAGGTGCCATGTCGGTTTTCCGATGGTTTATTGCTTCAAGGACTCATTAGTCCGAACAGTTTCAAATGATTTGACGGTAGCAAGGGACAAAACGGCAGAACATTTTTGCTAACGGAAGGAAACATGTTGGTCTTTTCTAAGTTATCTTCTTGTCATCACGCATAGGTACAAGTAAAAAAAAATAATAATAACAATAATAAAAGCAAAAAATAAATAAATGTTTTTTGTTGTTTTTTTTCAAATATATACAGTTTGCTCCATCATGTATCATCACATATCGTTTTTTCTAAAGCTTTAAAGAGTAGTTTAATAAATCTGTTTTTTGCATGGTTTACACTGCGTAATGAATGTGTCAAATTAACTACCTTTTCTGTTTTTTTCTAGGTGTTCCATTTCCCCCTAGTCATAAACTGACAATGAATGAAGTGTTCGATCCAAAAACTAACAAACCCCGAATAGACGTTCTTAAACAACACTTTGTTTTGGAAGGTAGGATAGAAGAAGCCGCTGCCTTGCGTCTCATCAATGAAGGAGCTGCATTGTTACGCCAAGAGAAAACTATGATTGATATAGAAGCCCCTGTAACAGGTATGTTTTCTATGGATATTGATGTTGGAGTTATCCCACACACGCTATAAAATATTCAGAATTCAGAAAAAAGCTAAAATGGGATAGAAAAAATATCGAATAAAACAGCGTTTCGCCAATGTTAACTTGGCATCATCAGTATGTTTAGAGGAAGCTCTTGCAACATGCTATGATTATATATTTTTAACACTAAAGTAAAGGAAGCTCTTGTAACATGCTATGATTATATATTTTTAACACTAAACTAGAGGAAGCTCTTGCAACACGCTATGATTATATATTTTTAACACTAAAGTAGAGGAAGCTCTTGTAACATGCTATGATTATATATTTTTAACACTAAACTAGAGGAAGCTCTTGCAACACGCTATGGGTATATTTCTTTTTACTCTAATTAGCTTTGCATATCGAAATTTACTTGCATGTTTCGGAGTAAAATGCTCTCCTATATGATTTTCATAGATTAAGTAAAATTAGCATTGCTAAATGGGAATAGTGTTCTCAAGTGTTTTTCCTCTTTGTTGGTTACATACTTCCTTTGGTTTGTTAACGATATTTGGCAGATTCCATTCGTTTCCCTTATTAAAATTTAAATGTAGAACTGTATATTAACATAGACCTTCAGAATAAGTTGCCAGCCTGTGTATTCTTAAACCAGTTTCATATTATATAGTTATCGTGAACTTTTTTGTGTTTTTTATTGTATATTTGACCACAGATCAAAGGAGGCCAAATTCTTAAGACATCTCACGTTTTTATTCCATTGTATTTAATAGGGAAGCTACTTTTATTAGGGGTAACGTGTGGTCTAGTTGTTAGCGTATCGTTGCCGTAAAATTGTGCTCCGCATTTTGGGGCCGTCGGTTGAGTTATAAGAATGACGGTCAAATCCCACTATTCGATTGAAATACCTTACGTGTCTGAGATGGATGCTTTGGACTAGCTATCTGGTCTATCAGTTCAAAGTTAGGAACATTAGCGCATATAGCCTTTGTGTAGCTTTGCGCAGATATTCGAAACAAACTTGTGACAGGTGTGCAGCTGTGATGTTCTGATTTTTTTAAAGATCAAGGTCACCTGACATACTTGATACATCAATCTATTTTGGTATAGTATTTTAAACTCTAATCGCACCTTATACAACACATGAGTTTAAATGGCTAGGTCAGAAACCACAAGGTTCGTAATGACAGGCCCTAGTTCATACCTGCTTGACCAAAGGGAGTGCAATCAGTAGTAGTGTTTGCTGTCTAAGCTACAGGACTACTCTCAACAGAATATAAGACTGACTCTCAATTTTGTAACGCTTCCACAGCTGAAAGAACAGAGCATGCTCAGCAGTATATCACCGCTCAAACCATGGACCTTTCGATACACAGCCCAGCACGCTAATTACTAAACTATGTATTAAGATTGTTGTTTTGTATTAAAGGTTTGTTTTATCCATCTGGGTAAAAATTCAAATTTATTCATTTTAAGGAAAAATGTGGCATGCATCATTTCATTTAAATAATTTATGTTCAAACACATACAAACAAACTCAGGGGTTGGACAGAATAAGGAAAACACCCATACTTTTTTAAGAGCCTTGATAGTGAGTAAACATCTAGCTAGATTCCCAGTGATACAAACACCTAAAATAATGAATGTGTCATAAGGTACAGTGTCAGAAGTGATTTCAGCATTGATATCCAAAACTAAAGTAATAGAAGAGCATTAACACATGTGTTGAGATATAAACAAGATTACAGCGTCAAAACTGTGCTCAGTACAACCGATTTCTGTAAAAACACTCGAAAAGAACTGCACAAAAGTGGCTTCCATGGAGTTTGACCATTCTGAATCTTCTAGTTAATACCAACAACAACAAAAAAAAAACAGAATCCCGAGTAAAATAACGCCAAGATCATAAACATTCGACAGAAGATCAAAGAATGTGGTTTGGTCAGATGAATAACGTAGGCCTGCGATGGTTTTATTGTCTAGAAAATTTTACATGTTCTACAGTAATTTCTGTCCTCTGAATCCGAAAATGATATGCATTTCTCTCCAACACGTACAGATTTTTCACAAAATGTCATAACGCAATACATAAAAGAAAGACCACAGTACGTAGTTTTGATACTAAATGACGTAGATTTCAGAAAAATAAAATCGGGATGAATGAAGATGCATATTCGTTTGACATCAGAGTTCTTCCCTTTTCTTCGGTTTGTTAACAAACATAATAATAATAAAAAAAATTCATTATGTTAAACGAAATAATAATTTGATATAAGCAAGTTTTATTTTCTTGTTCCCGATTTGTAAAAAAATCCTTACGTAATAGAAACAAAATATTTTCGAAACCTGCGTAGTTGAATTATGGAAAATCCGTTATTAAAACCAAAGCAACTTTTACCAAGTTTAAATTCGCAGGCCTGTGTAATTTTTTACACTCTTCCCAGGTGGTTAGGGCGCTCGACTCGCAATATGAGGGTCGCAGGTTCGAATCCCCTTCCTACCAAACATGCTCGCTCTTTCAGCCGTGGGGGCGTTATAATGTGACGGTCAATCCCACTATTCGTTGGTAAAAGAGTAGCCCAAGAGTTGGCGGTGGGTGATGATGACTAGCTGCAGATAGCCCTCGTGTAGCTTTGCGCGAAATTCAAAACAAACGAAACCAAATCCATGAAATGGACGCGTTTAAAATGCGGCGTAAACAAAAAGTAAGCTTATAACCCTGAGTGCAGCTGAGCATGGTGGAAACTCTGTGATGGTATGGGCAGTTTTGTTTTTGTTGGAATATTTTAGGGCTTATCATCTCACAGAAAGGTAAAGTGACAGCAAATGTCTTCTTAAAACGTCAACAATAAGAAGCTTTAATGTACGAATGGAAAAAAATCATTGTGTAATGCACAACACTTTGTTTCATGAATTTCACGTCGTATTAGTGCTATATTGTCTGCTAATTCCATATTAATAAATAAAATGTAGAAATTAACAGGTGTTTTCGTTATATTGTCCAACCTCTGTATCTATATAAAGGGTAATCGGAAGTCCAGTTTAGTGTTAAAACTATATAATCATAGCGTGTTGCAAGAGTTTTCTCTAATTTACTGTTAAAAATATATAATCATAGCGTGTTGCAAGAGCTTCTTCTACTTCAGTGTTAAAAAATATATAATCATAGCGTGTTGCAAGAGTTTCCTATAAATTTGTACTTAGTTTCACACGCAGTGTACCAACATATAATTAATTTTTGATGGGCCTACAAATGTGTAAATGATCCAATTACATTCGAGTATATGTGTAACTGATCCAATTACATTCGAGTATATGTGTAACTGATCCAATTACATTCGAGTATATATGTGTTCACAATATTAGAAATACAGATTTTGACGATATATGTATACGATAGTACTTTGGTTTCGGATACAGTACTAGTACATCTTTTCCAGTTAGTTTTACTTAAACAATTATGTAGTCAAAGTTATGGCAAATTTATATATATATTTTTGTATTTACTATCAGTTTGTCTTATAACATGAGAAGGTGCCAGTTAAAGTTAACTAATTTATGCATGTGTTACTGACGTCTAGCAATAAAGCTGTAAACCTGTGAGTATGAGAAAAACTTGAAGATAGACTAGTGTTATCGGTGTCGTATGTTTGGGGAGAAAGATCGAAATACATGATAAAACTTCCATGAAAAATACGTTGTTTACACTCGGAATACTCCGAAGTTTTATCAATATTTTTGAAATGTATATACTATGGGCAAAAATAATCGTTGCATGTATGCGCCTATTTTCGGTTTGAGGGCTGAGTTTAGTTATTTATGTTAGAATATATAATGACCTTTAATTATGCTGACTCGTTTGAAAGTTCCAAATTAATAACCAGGAAAAAAGTTATTAAGCTTAAACTGAAATTCAGAATCGAATAGAAAAAAATACAAAATTTATAAAGAAATGAAAAACTCAAGTGTAACACTTCCTATCTAAATCTGTAGCCTAAAATAATGAACCTTACAGGTTATTTTGAAATGTAAAATTGAAGGTGTGAAATTCAGAATATGGTATAAAGTCAAATAGATTTTGAATTTTATAAACGTAAGGCAGACATCAGATTGAAATTAAGGTTCAAAATATTAAATGTATCGCTTTTCAGATCGATCGTATAAAGTCATAGTGACATTTAAAACCAGAAAAGAAAATTTGAGAAATTCAAAATAAAAGAGGGGAACTAGGAGAGGAAGTAGCAAGGGGAGGAAGTTGTATGTAAATATAAACCATTCAAGAACTTTGTATACGCAGATATAAAGTTTTGAGTGTTAATCGACATATGACTGTTTTGAAATTTAAGATAACTTATTGAATACTAAAGACGAGTATGAAATGTAAAATTTAATATTAAAAATATATTTGTGCGAAATGAAAAATAAAAGTTATTCAAACTTGAATGTATGTGATACGTACAAAAATAAGGTAAAAATATGAAATTTCCTACATTTAAAAATCAAGTATTAAAAAGGAAAGGTTATTGTGAAACTTTTATCCCGTGGCTCAGAGGTAAGTTGGAGGGCTTATAAGTTAAAAACCGGTTTTCAATACTCGCAGTGGGCAAAATGCTGATAACCCATTGTGTACCCTTGCGCTTAAACACGAAGTGTTATCATCGACGTTAGTCAAGTTGTGAAACGACGTCTTTCCTGTACACAATATATTTTAATATTCTATTAATGTATAAAATTTGTGTGGCCAGAAAAAGAGTACATTTTAAATTTTAATCTCATAAATCCATACGAAAATCCGAAATAAAGAAATAAACTGATATTGCGCTTGTATTTTCCCGGCGTGCGTGACCTTTTAAGATCAGTTTTAGTTTAATCTGTATAGCCTTGTCACTGGACGTGCATCGAGATAAGAACACATGCAAAACTATTTTATTAACTCTGTGCACGACACGTTTTCTTCTGCTTGCGAACACGACAGACATACTAATTCAAAACGGGCT